TATCTAATCGATTGTCTTGCACTATTCACAGTACGACACAAATACTACTCGCCCCAGCACACCTAGTAAGCGAGACGAGGGTCATCGGGCGTGTTTTAGTAGCCATTGAACAAAGAAAACAGAAAAATCAAATATTTCAAATCGCCGACAAGTATGTACACGAAAACAAGAGTATCCGCACGTATGTAACCATCCTCATGCAGCCAATTTGAACACCTTGCCATACATCAAGTCTCTCATACTAGGACTCTCGAATCTTTATAAGGATATTCTGTTTGAATCCCTAAATGTCGTCCCAGGACGCTTCTAGCAACTGAGCGTGACAGTGACTCTGCAAGATCGACATTTCCCGCGCCGTCTCCGCACGTCAGTATGACTCATGTGATTAGGTGTCCCCAACTGCTTCTCATTGTCGCGCTCAGTTCCCGCCTCCGCTGGCGCGTGTCTCCGACTCTCAACCCTAGTCCTCGAAAATGCGCTGCGTGCTCGAAAACGCCGTCTGCTCTACTCTCTCCAGCACAAACCAAGTCGCACGACACCAAGATAACATCTCTCCTTATTCTCTTCTTATTCGTTTCCGTCTTAATAGAGTTACCCACCTTCACGCGACATTATACAGAGATCTCATCCCCTCCTCCATTTGCCATCTCATATCGCACAGAATCCCACTTCTCACCTGACAGTAGACCAATGCCTAGCCGGATCTTCCCAAAGTCAGAGCTCATAACCTCGCACAGCTAGTGTTCTAGCTAGACGGCGCCCTCTGCGTAGAGATACCATGTATCGACGAAACGCATAAGCGGTGTTTATCTGAGTCTATTCTTTAGAAAACTAAACTCTTAACTGTTTAGCTAACTGCAACAGGTCTACTGGACGCTCTCCGCAGAACCAGCCTTCTCTCCCGTATTTCATTGCCCATCTGGTTCACCACGGCCCACCTACATTCAACAAGACGCGCACCGTAGCTAGCGCACACTTAGAGAACTCAATAGAGCCTCCTACAAGCTGGCACTTCCTAGTTCGACAAACACCACATCGAGACAGTCCGTATGCCGTGTTATAGTCGTCTATTCATACAGATCGCAGGAGTCGTTTGATCTCAGTTTTTCGGGCATGTTTACAGCATGAATAAACTACAACACAACATTGTCCGGTTCTGATGATATCGTACCTATCAATGATCGGTTTATCAACTATTCAACCTGAGCTAGCCATAGATCGCACACTTTTAACTTAGAGAATATAGTAAATATAATCATATCTCATTATCTTAGTCTTTGACAAATACAAATCTTTGTTTGACAGTTATTTGTTCAACCACATGATATCTGATTTAAAGCTAATCTATCTTCACACTTTATGGCATGAGCGTAACGCAGCTAGAGACATCCGTACGTGCAGACCAAACACCACTCATAACATCTGATCCCGTCAAAGAGCCTCATCTTAATTGATGACTGCCACATAAACGTCATCAGACAGTAGTATTTTTCTTAAACTCTCTTCAGTATAGAGTGCATATAACCTACAGGACGACTCCCTGACATATTTCTGTTAGTAATGCAATCGGTCATCGTATTGCTCAATATACCTCACACATCGAAAAAATGACAATGACCAGTCATGAAGATTTTCGTATCTAACGAAATGCTTATAAACACGAAACGGTATACGACTGATTATTGTGAACGCGGGAAGAGGCCGCAATTCAGAGCAGTCAGACAGACAGAGCAATGATACAGAAGATAACGAAAAGGAAAGCAGAGCAGTACGAGTGATGTGTAGATAGAGGAGAGAGAGTACAGCGAAGACCAAAGAATGATACTGAAGATAAAGTATTAAAAAGCGAAGTGAACGAAGAAATGAGCCCAATGAACGTTGTTCTGCCTGGTGAGCAGTTACGAGATACGTAGAAAAAATATCATGTATTTAGATTGTCTAAGATTAGAGGCCTGACCCAATGCACTCTGAGTAGACAGAGCTCTCCATCAAGAGATCATTATGTAGAGCCCGTTGATATAGTACCATTCTGTCCAAAACGGTTTAAAGGCAAATGTGAGAATTACTACCCCATTCACATCCGAATGCCATGGTACAAGCATGTATTTTCGCGTATCAAAATCCGAAATTGTATAATTCACGCTACATACCCCTGTTTGCTTTTGTTTGTCAAAAGTATATTTACTTTCTGAAAGACATTATAGCGCAGGTGCTTCTAGAATAAGCTTTTCTATATAAAAAAATAAAAAGAAATGCCACCAGGAAATCATATAGGAAAAGTAGGTATCAAAAGCCAGGAAATATTTAAAATTCACTCTCGCAAACCTCATATCGAAGATATTTCAAAATACGGTTATTAAAACTTATGAAAGAAGTTAGACTGCTACTAGTAAATAGCGTGTATCAATTGTGTCTTAATACAATATTTCTAGTTAAAACATATTATTTATAAAATGACTGTAGTGATTCATTACATGCTTACCGTTCGATTCCAATATTTAGTTATTATATCTTTCTTATTAAAAAAACTTTTTGAACTCACTATTCTGTAATATGTATGTCTTACTAGAATGATATACCATGAGAGGAGGCCAGAGTTAGTCGTTCTCTTCTATCGTACCAAAAACTGCAGCTCTACGTGTAAAGCTAACCAATTCAGGCATAGCAGCAGCCCTAACATGAGATCCAATTCTTCCTATCTAACGCGTCTTACCATAAAGTGACTCACTATTGTTTCCTATGCTGTGCTTATGTTCAAAAGTGTTTGAAGCCATTTGCAGCGTATGGACCACCCAATTCATTCGTTAAATAGTTTATTATAAAAAACCCTGGACAGACCGCCTAATCTGAGGAGAATTTTTATTCAAAGCCGAATCACATTTTCCATTGCATGGATCAATCACCAATCGTCATTCATAAATCAGTTTTAATGTCGAAGGAATGACTTTAGTTTGAAAGTTTATGGGATAAGCGGGTGAAAGAAAATAAACTAGTCCTTACGTGGGGTCTCCTGTCCATTACGTAAGCAGTAGCTCTCCCCACCGCGTGTCGTCCTCCTCTTCATCCTGTAAACTGCGCATCACCATTTTGTCTAAAGTGGAGTGACTCGCCACAGCAGACGCGTACAGGAACCTTTGAAATAGTTAAGACGCAATGCAAAGATTCCACCCAGTTATCCACAAAAAAACCATCGTGAATACGAGCAGCAAAACCCGTCTGCGTCGTCATGGACGTATTAACACATAGAAAATATATATTTGAGCCTGTCTGCTCCTCATTCTACAACGCGCCGATAAACCCCAAGATAAACTGGATAAGTCATATTGCCCATGCCACTCTCAACTAAGGCTAGCGAATAGTATCCAGATTATTCTTTGTTCTGATATAATATCTCTTTCTCGACAGCCGTGATTTAAATGATATTAACAGACGCTGACAATCCCAACTCTGTGTACGAGTTGCTGTGTTTAAAGTACTTAATGTTCAGCGGAATATATTCCCGATTATTGTTAGCCGTGGCATGGGCGGACGCGAGCCGTTGGGGCCTCCACCCTTGCCGACGGTATCTACGAATACAATCAGATTATCTGATTACTAGAAAGGACAGGGTGACCCTCTGATGTACCTCGGTCACTGAATATCCAACCATTAGTCCATGCAGCTCTGCTGTAGCATATCTTGTATGAGAACTGTCGAGCGGCCGTTCTGACCTGGCACTCGCGGCAGCTGGCTCTGACGGATCATTTACACGCTTCCAGACATATGATGCGACAAGAAGATAGCTCTTTAGAGTCGGAGAACCAGTAGTGGAGTTCGGGATCTGAGTGCGGTGTGACGGCGTTAGGAATTCATGTTGTGTCCGCAGAAAAGTGGCTAGAGCGGCTCCCTCTAGATGACATACAGTTGTTACCGCCCGTGGTTTGACTCCAGGATCAACAGCAGGCTGCTTGTTTCTGCAGACGTATACGTAATCAAGACGAGCCCCCAAACAGGAAGAGCTGATCTAGGTCCGCGTCACGCTGTGGTGGGAAGACAATATAGCGACTGTTTGGACGGTGCTACGACGCCCACTTACGGACTACATATGAGCGGAAGTCTGCAAGGAGCGATGTGTACGGACAGTACATATGACGGGAACGACCGATGAGACAGTCGTGAGAGCTTAAGAGGTCTTCGGTTGTGCGCCTAGGCCCGATGCGGTCTGGTCCGGACGACGTGGGGAGAATACAGGGTTTTAGTAAAAAAACCCTACCCGCACGTGGAGTCGCGGTCAGCCTGCAGCGGAGGCTGTCTCACCAAGCAGCGCGGGTAAGAGTCATCCAGTGTCACGGCCAAAACACATGCATGAGTTCACAGTTGTACGGGATGACCCCAAGGGCCCTGACGAGAGCACCCGCGGAAAGACACCTACCAAGCAGGCACCACGAAAAATTAAATCCCACCAGTAGCTAGTGTCTCAAGGTGCCAATCAAATGCTATTTGAGTATTCACGAAGCCGCCACTTGCGTGATATGCCACGACCACATTTTTAGATTGAGGGAAAGGAGATATATGTGAATCTTCTCGGTTCAAAAAACAAACTGTTCTGTGAGCCTTGTTCCCGGCTTACACTATAGAACTTTTGTAGGAAAGAAAATAAATATCACAGTAGCGTTTGGACAATAATGTCAAATCTCAGGAAAGGTAGTTTCCCACGACAACCCCGTCTACACGACATACGCAGATAACAAGACCATGGAGTCTGAAAAACGTTTTAGTGTATTTTCAATTTTTGAACTCTTGGGCACCCGTGGAAGATAATTTCGAATCCAACAACAGTACATTTAAGAGATTTTTGTTGGATGAAACGTACATATTTGTCTGCTTCTCTTGGCTTATTTATATTTAAGATGATGCCTTTGGAGGTAACTTTGTGTTAGCAAGGTGTGGCGGCGAAATATTTGCGTTCTTGTAACTTGACTTTGAAATCCTGACACAGAGTGCTGTTGCTCATGTTGCAGAGCCAAATCTTCGGCACCATCCTGCAGTCATGGCTGCGGCGCGCGGAGGAGTCGGTGCAGGCGCTGAACGCGCCCCTGGTGAAGGCCTCCATGTCGGTGTACTCCACCATCGTCACCGAGCTGCTGCCCACGCCCGCCAAGACGCACTACACCTTCAACCTGCGCGACCTCAGCAAGGTCTTCCAGGGCATGCTCATGTGCAAGCCCAACAACATAAAGGTAAACGGGCTTGTTTTATTCACGTCAACACGCCCAGAATGTTTTGATGGATGGCGCTGCTCAGTGTTTGGGGAATTTGTTCAAAAGTTATCATCTAGCGGATGTTTATTTAGCTCCCAGGTGGTTGATAAAGGAGTTAACACTTGAAGCATGCGGTCGAACAATTATGACGAGGAGGCAAAATATCAGCTCGTGACGTAACCACTAGTATGAATGAAACCTTCTTCTGGTGTTCCACATAATTTTAAATATCCTGATAGATTTCAATAATGACTATTAAATGTGTTTATACACAAATTAATACACTATATGCGAAAATATATTGAAATAAATTTAATCATTTTTATTCCAAACTTAATTCCGCGAAACGAACACAATTACCTTCTGTATAACCCACTAAACATGAAACAAAGGAATTTGGGTACATTTAAAACAAAACTACACACATCTAAAAGAGTCAGCAAAATGTTTATAATTCAGTGTTAAGCGTTGATTTTGTACCCAGTGTTGTGGAGAAACTGGAAAATAATTCTAGTTGCAAAAGCAAATAAAAATTACAGCTGTAGAGAAACCTGTAAGCAGAATAGTTTATTAACAAACCTGTGAAACGTTTTACAGAAATCAGCCTAGAACAAAATAAGCAAGTCGGTTTTGCCAATCAAATGTGAACTTTATATGTTAGCTACTGAGGCTAACAGAAAATACACATTCACCGTCCGAAGACAAAACATTTATATTCGTAGACACACATGTCTATTCAAACAATACCCAAATATCTGGTTAACACCATATTTTAAGAGATAGACAAGATATATAGCATAAAATATTAAAGCCTTTCTACCAATGCCACCTTCGTATCATAAGGAGAAAAAACTACACCAACATTTTCAAAAAAGTCAGAGAGTTTAGTATGATTTTTATTTAGGGCTTCGAGAAAATTAATCAGAAAGGCTTGTGATTTATTTGAATCTAAAACACCACTAACATAAATTCTATCGGACGAATCATTGTTTTCGTCCATAGAAACCCGTTTATTTCATCTTCTTATTACGATTTTCAATGTTTGTGTTGTTTTATATATGAGTGGCTTTTGTAAATTTATCGAAAGGTACATTTATTTGAAACGCATGTCCCGCAATATTTTTTTCTAAAATGCTTCTAAGTTTATGACTAGTGTAGTCGTGCGAGAACGCTCGCATGTTAAACATGACCCTCTTCCCGATCATTCCATTCCCTTATTAAGGGTGAAAGTTAATAACCAAATGTTTTTTTTTGTTAAAGAAATGTATGAAGGTAACTTCCAATGGGTCTACAGAATATCTATTAAAAATTAAAACAACAATGCAATTGATAATGGAAACAAATTTTCAGTAAGGCTTATTCATTATTTTAGACAATTGTTCTTGGAAAAAGTCACATGTCTTCCGTAAAAACATTATCTCAAGTATTTACACAATCTCCCTTGACAATCTTGCATTTTGGAAATAAAACAGTTACATTCATTGTTTATGTAAGTAGCTTTTATGGTTGACTCTCGTGGTTTTAATACTTCTCAGGCCAGTCACGCACAAAGAACATAATCACAATGAAAACTATACATTTGCGTTGTGAAAAACAAGAATTGCTCATTTGTTTCAAAATGGACAGCGCCGCTTTCTTGTATTTATGAATTTTTGTATACATGACATTGACTTTTATTAGTATGTAAAATGAAATGTTGAAGGTTGGTTGTTGCAAATCAGTTGCTCTTCCATTTATTTACTCGGCAAGACCTCTGCCAAGTAAAGCGAGCGTTTCGTCAATCCAAGCATTTTTACTTTCCCTTATATATACTCGTTCGTATATACGTAGTAATACACGTGGTATAAGGAAAGTTATGTAATGTTGCGTGAAGAAAGACAAATTTTGCCAGAAAAAATTCATTTCAGGGCCCTGGTAACAAAAAGTGGATATATCCAGTTGCTAAATTAAGATAAAAGATACTCTAACACGTGGTGGGACCAAAAATCCAGTTTTGTGGGTCCTTGATACCGAAAAACCAATTGACGGTATAACGTCCCTCCGTTTTTCTGTCTTTCCATCTATCTGTCTGTCTCCCTGTGTCTGTCTGTCCGTCCGTCTGTCCGTCTATCCGTCCGTGAACAGCACTAGCTCCTAAAACCATAAGTATGATTTTTTTCCAAATTGAAGAAAACCCTGTCGATTTGGCTTTCTGCGATTTGCAAAAGCTTTCAGATTTTGAAAAACATTCTTTAAAATTTCAGAGTACTTTAAATGAAGCCCCTGTACATTTGCAAAATTGTCACAAAAATAGCTTCAAGTTTCTGTTTAAATTTTTTATAAGAATAGAGTAAAATACACTTACAAAGGTGGCATAGGTCAGATTTTCATGGTGAAGTCTGAATTTTCAAAGTTTCTGAGTTAATGAGCTTCAAATGAAGTTTTTTGTTAACTCAAAAATTGCCTGTGAAAAAGAGCTTCTAATTTTGAATTTACAGTAGCGCTTAAACGTCATTTTCTTAAAAAGAGCCCCACATTTTTGACATGAAATTGCCATTTAGGATGAATTTTTACTATTCCTTAAAATTCTTAAAATAATATTTCCGTTGTACTAAGAGGATACCGAGAAATTAAGAAAATGTCATTAAAATATATTTTTGGCGGCGATAGAGGGCAGGTGGCAAGATTATGTGACAAGTCCGAATAGCGAGCAGAGACCAAAGGAAATAGCAAACTAATGCGGGAAAGTCTGAGCTATTCTGTGCCACCACTAGTTTAATTGTGCAGTTTTATGTGCTGTTCAAGACAGTTTACATGTTTTAAAATGCATATATTGAGATTATAAATAGGTATTATAAACATTACATGCAGATAAAGATTACATATTCAGTGTCTTAAATTATTCTCAAAGTTTGTACCACTCGAAGCGATAGAAATATTTTAGAAGTTTTTAATAATAACAAAAACATATTAAATAAGTAAATACAAAGATCAGTCGTAAAAATCCAATTACATATCAAGATGTTGCTCCAGATCTAGATGTTTTTGACACTACTCCAACTCCCAGGCATAAGCATAAAGTAAGTTTTCAGCAGTTTGTAAGAATGAAATGCGCGTCTTCCCAACCACTGATGCGCCCGAGTTTATGACGGTTATACGCCAGCCGTTGCCAATGTCATTGCTCGGTATTCAAGGCAGGTACTCTCTTGGATTCAGTACTTCCAGAGAATGAGGGTTTAGAAATTTATTTATTATATATGTTGTAACTTACATTTGTGTGATACATCTTATTGCCCCAGGTCTTCAATCTCCATGGCACACGTCTGACACACGGTACTCTCTGAACCGTCACAGTGTTTTCCAAATTGTAGAGAATTTCCGCTTAGGAATCAGCACATTGCCCCTTCTCAAAGACGAAAGGGAGATATGGTTGCGGTGAAAGGATCACGCACGATTTGTCTAAGTGTGCGCTCAAGTAGAACACATACGAGGTCAATAAGCAGCTTGATTGCGCCTTTTATGAAATGGGGGCGGATACAACAAAGGCTTTTCGAAAGTTATCGGCGTTCACACGTCAACAACTACCATCTGCCAGAAGTCATAGGAACTTCTTTCGGCATGCTGGTTGCACACGCTGTTTGTGAGTCCATGCGGGTTTCACCTCCAGGTATCTCCCCAGAGAGGCGTCGCCCCAACCAGTACAAGATACAAGTTCTCGACTGATCTCCCAGCATGTGTGAAGGTGTATTGCATGTGAGTGTAAATGTGAGCAAGGCGTGGTGATAGGGCAAGGAAGAGCAAGGAAGCAAGGAAACTCGCGTCGGGAGACGTTTGTTCCGGTATAGCTCCGATATTCTCCTGGAATTTATCTCAGAAGGCTCAGAAAAAGACCGATCAGGGCAGAATTCTTGTTTACACAGCGGCCGAATTCGTCCTAGCTATCTACCTAGTGTCGAAAATCCTTCCACCATCGTGAATTGAACCCTAGGGCCTCCAGTGACATCAGTTGATGCTCTGAGCCACCGTAGACGGCTACTGCTTCAGAATTTGGCTGAAACTGATAAGATAAAGGCGCGAAAACGAACGATCAGAGCCCACGATGAGGTTTCAAAAATTCGCCTCGAGGCCGCAGTATGGCTCGCCTCGGTTCGGCATGAACGTCTAACGTTGAAATTTGTTTCTCTTTTGCTGTCTGATTCCACTAAATATGGATATAGCCCAAACCGTCCCGGTACGGGCGATCTTCTTATTTAGTGACTTTAGCCAGCTAATCAGAAACAAATATTAGCGTTATAATTAAATCACGCATTTGACAGAAATGCAAATCTATTCCATAGTAAATAATTAAATTCCAAAAACAGGTTTGCATGTAATGCATATACTTTATGTTTTTCACAAAAAATATGCATTATTTAATATTTTACCATTAAGAATACTGACTTTTAAATAAAATTATTTTTAATGCAAAGCATGAAGATTCTTGATCGGTTAAACAGGTGTACACAAATCAGTTTAGATCTGTCTGACGACTAAAAAGTAAAATTTGTAGATAAATGGATAAAATAAATAGATGAAAATATATTTCCTTTAAATATCAGACGATTCTATCCGACAGAAGGCAATTTCTAATAACAGAAAATCTGAATTAAATGTTTCTGATATTATGTGAAAATAAACTAATAAAATAACGATAGAAAATAAAATGTTTCTATCGTTAATATATTGTAAATATAACCTCTCTGTCTCTACGTGGTAAAATGTGAATGTCACTGCAAAAAACAGTACGGTTTTTATTACCAAACGCTGCACATTTTATACATTTCGTTGTATATTTCAACATTTTTGCGCCATATTTGCTTGCACATTTTAGGCCTAAAATCTTCACCAACTTCTATGCTGTAGTTACAATACATTGAGCGTCTGTATGTATAAGTATTGTATTCACTTCGGATGATCTGGTAGTTTGAAAGCTTGAGTTCACTAAATAAGGAAAGAGAAAC